TTTTGTCTCGTACAGGTCCACTTTGGATTCCCACCCGATTAGTAAAACCATATCATGACCCAGCGACAGCCACCACCCTTCCGATGGGAACCGCCGCCATTCTCACACTGGAGTCCGTCCTGTCTTTCTTGGCAGGCGGCGGCGCGAGCAGGCACCCTACTCCCCTTGCGGCTGCCCAGGCTTGCCAGCCCGGTCGCCTGGGGTGTCACCGCCCGGGATGGCCCCACCTGGAGGCTCTGGGCAGGCGAGAGCGGGCTCTGCACTCCAGCCGCGACTAGAGGTCCCGGACGCGCCCTGCGCTGTGGCTCCCCCGTGCACCGGCACACTCTGCCCTGTGCCTCCGCCCCTTCCCTTCTCTGAACCGCTGCCACCACCCTTTCGGTGGCCGCCATCTGACCCGACTCCAGAGCCGCAACTAACACTGGCACCCCGTCCCCCGGGGATGAACACTGAAATGCCGCCATCCGACCCGAAAGCACCCCTTCCCCCGGGGATGGACACTGAACAACAGAGATCTGCAATACTGGTAACATGGGGAGGTCTGAAAGCCCTCTCCGCCAAAGCTGAGCATATCCTCTCAACTACAGGTGCCCCACTTACACCTGAAAACCTGTTTCTAGCTATGGTTTCCCTCGTGATAATCAATCCTCAATAGTCATCCTATATTATCTTGTGAATCAGTAATTTGTTAATCAGTAAGTTCCCAACGAAAATTTGTTATGTGTAAATTCCTCTATATTTTCTGCTTCTCCTAGTTAGATGCTTCTGTATAGATAGATTTCTAAGTTAGATGATTCCTTTCCAATTGACAGTAAATTTGTATAAACCAGTGTTTGTTTGATTGCTAAATCTGTTACGATGTGTAAATTACCCTTCCTAGTGATTCCCTTCCAAGTAATGGCAAAGCTATGTAAATCATTGCTTGTTTGATTGTTAATGAATCTTTGAGCCTTTATAAATCTTTAAGCCTTTAAGAATAATAATTTCAGTGGATGTTAAAAGTTAGTGTTTACCTGACAAAATGAGAGTCAGAGGAAACCCATGGGTCCAACAATCAGGACATTACTAGTGCAGAGGATTATGTTATCCTCATAAGATCATCCTCTATTGTCTTACACATCTGAAAGGCACATTGAGTCTGCTCACTCCGGCTATGCAATTGATAAGAGCATCACTCTTACTTAGTAACCTGACGAAAAACCAGATGGTATCTGGTGGAAAAGCAGCACCATGAGTTTGAAGAGCCTGCCGCGGCTGCCATCTAGGAACATTAAGCCCAGGCATTAAGTAACAACCTGGTGAAAAATCAGATGCTATCCGGTGGAAAACCAGCACCATGAGTTTAAAGAGCCCGCTATGGCCGCCATCTAGGCGACTAAGTCCAGGTGTTACTCATAGCTATGCTACTTCTCCTCCTTAAACATATGGAGTGTGCCCTAGCTGTAGCTGGGCTCACAAGGACTCACTAAGACGCCAGGCCCTGAGGTGTGGAGACAGTAGCTGAGATAATCTTGGACTTTATCTCGTAGAGAAAATTTTACTTTGTCCTAACGGACACTTGTTGGACCAGTGAAAATCCTCTTGATTCTTATTCCATTGACTAAACAAAAGGGGGGAAATGTGGGGATATGTGTTATTCAAATATGGATGTATAAAGCCCTCTATGCTGCACATGTTGAGACTTGTCCCCAACATGTTGAGACTTGTCACGACTTGTTTTTCCAAACCCGTTACTGATTGGCTTTTTTACCTGAATTCCTCCTCCCTTGCCCGAAACTTATTGTTATTCACCCAAAGCCCATTGTTCTGTTATTTGCTTCACTGCTTGCTGTATTGACTATAAATAAACTCCTGGGACTGAAGCCAGGGTCGACACCTCAGAGTGACCCTCCTGGCCCCACTTGTCTATAAGAGTTGTGGCATTGGTTACTGTCTCCGCCGCCCCGACAACCATCGCCGCTGCGACAGATGGTGCCCCGTGTGAGGAGCTGCAACAATTTATGATACTCATGGGCACAGTATTTCTGTTCATTTATTAATTTGTAAAAAATAAACATTAGGTTTTATTTATTTGTACTGTTATAAATCAGATTTGTCCTTGACGAAGTGCAATTATGGTGACCTCAAACACATATTTGAAATACTAATAGTAATAATATGATAAAAAATGACAGCTAACATTTCTGAGTGCCATATGTCAGGCATTACCCTAAACGCATAACATGCATCATCTATCTCATTTAATCCCCACAAAAACCCTAAGGTAGGTATTAACAAGTTATTATTTTTTCTTTTTTTTTTTTTTACTGTACTTTAGATGAGGATTTACAGAGCAAACTAGCTTCTCATTAAACAATTAATACACATATTGTTTTGTGACACTGGTTTCCAACCCTATAACATGTCAAAACTCTCCCCTTCTCGACCTTGGGTTCCCCATTACCAGCCTTCCTGTCCCCTCCTGCCTTCTCGTCCTTTCCCTGGGGTGGTGTGTCTATTCAGTCTCGTTTTGTTTTACGTGGCTGTCTAATCTTTGGCTGAAGGGTGAACCTCAGGAGTGACCTCATCACTGAGCTAAAAGGGTGTCCAAGGGCCATATGCTCGGGGTTTCTCCAGTCTCTGTCAGACCAGTAAGTCTGGTCTTTTTTTTTTTTTTTGAGTTAGAAGTCTGTTCTACATTTTTCTCCAGCTCTGTCCAGGACCCTCTACTGTGATGCCTGTCAGAACAGTTGGTAGTGGTAGCCAGGCAACATCTAGTTGTGCTGGACTCAGTCTGGTGGAGGCTTTGGTACTTACGGTCCATTAGTCCTTTGGACTAATCTTTCCCTTGTGTCCTTGGT